TTTTTTAATATTTATTATTATTATTAATTTTTTAGAGGCAGGGTTTCACCATGTTAGGCTGATCTTGAACTCCTGATCTCAGGTGAACCATCCGCCTTGGCCTCCCACAGTGCTGGGATTACAGGCATGAACCACTGCACCCAGCCTCACCTGTAGTTTTAGCTACTGGGAATACTGAGGTAGGAGAATTGCTTGAGCCCGGGAGGTTGAGGCTGCAGTGAGCCGTGGTCATCCCGCTGCACTTCAGCCTGGGCAACACAGCAAGACCTTGTCTTTAAAAGAAAAAGGCATATTGATCCTGTGGCAATCAAATGATCATAGGAGATAATAGCTGCTCTTAAATTTGAGTACTGTTTTTGTACACAGCACTCATTTTATCAGAGCTAACTGCTTAAATGGGAACTGTTGAGACTTAAGAAATTTCTTCCTTCACACATTTGAGTGCTTACTTTGAACCAGATACTATACCAGGTATGGTTACAAGAATGAATAGGAAATAGTTTCTGCCTGCAGGGAGCTGTCAGTCTAGTTTGGAAGAGGTGGATACAGCCTGATTATGTTAAAAGGTGTTAAGCGTAATTTTAACGCTAGAATTTCCACAACGAAGGTGGAAATTTAGTACTGTTGGAGTCTTAGGATTGTAGCTGATTAACCTGGAAGAATATGGGGAACCTTCACAGATGTAGGTTCAGGAATTGGTCTATATGCCATTTGTCTTACAGCTTTTGACATTTAGATAGTGCTAGAGTCATCAAAGGTGATGTGAGAATAATCCCCGTAAATGTTAAATCAAAAAAGATTTGGGACTGGGCATGGTGACTCATGCCTGTAATCCCAGCACTTGGGAGGCCAAGGCAGGTAGATCACTTGGGGTCAGAAGTTCAGGACCTGGCCAACATGACGAAATTCTGTCTCTACTAAAAATACAAAAATTAACCAGGCGTGGTGACGTATGCCTGTAATCCCAGCTACTCAGGAGGCTCAGATAGAAGAATCACTTGAACCTGGGAGGTAGAGGTTGCAGTGAGCTGAGATTGCGACTCTGCACTCCAGCCTGAGCAACAGAGAGAATCTCTCTCAAATAAAAAAATAAATAGATCAGGTGTGGTGGCTCATGCCTGTAATTCCAGCACTTTGGGAAGCTGAGGCAGGCAGATCACCTGAGTTCAGGAGTTTGTGACCAGTCTGGCCAACATGGCAAAACCCCGTCTCTAAAAATACAAAGAATTAGCCTGGCATGGTGGCACGTGCCTGTAATCCCAGCTACTTGGAAGGCTGAGGCAGGAGAATCACTTGAACCCAAGAGGCAGAGATTGCAGTGAGCCGAGATGGCGCCACTGCTCTCCAGTCTGGGCGACAGAGTGAAACTTCATTTCTTTTTTTTTTTTTTTTTTTTTTGAGGTCTTGGATTCTTTAAGAAAAAAATGTGGAAAATATAAATCAAATGCATGAAGACAGGGAAGAATACATGTATTTTAACTCCATGGTATTAAAGTAAATTTTCTTCAGCATTACATTGGGAAATACAATGAATGTTTTATAAGTCATTTTGTGCAATTCTTACTTCTTAGAAAATTTATATTTATTATTTCTGCATACATTCTGCACACATCAGCTATTTGAAATACTATAAAGACCTCTTCCAATGTTCAGCACTCATCCTCTGTTGGGAAACAGATCCCTAATATAAAGATAATACCCATTGGCTAAATGTCATTTGGATTCTTTGAAATATCAAATGTCTTCAGTAGATAATAGTACCGCCAAGAAACTACGAAGCCTCATATATTTAAAAATCATTTAAAAATTGTTTCAGCATTTTCGTATTTCCATTTTGAACCCAAGGTAAAAATATGATGTTTACTTTTGGTACTGTTAAGGAGATGAAATAAAGTGCAATTTAAACAACAAACCCCCATTAAAAATTCCATATAACAGTGTACTCTTAACAAATTATATGAGCTAAATGATTAGTGCCACTCTGATATCTAGCAGTTTATACATATATTTAGAGGTATAATTAATTATGAGCCCAAACTCAATTTGGGCTTGTGTTTCTGCTGTGTCAATATTAATTTTGATTTAATGTATAAGTGTTGATATTTCTGACCAGAAATTCCTTATCTAGCAGAGAAGTAAAATATATACCTTAAAGAGGTATATTAAAACCGTTAATACACACACATACAATAAAGTTTCAAAGTATTTTGGTAATGAAAAACGGTATTGTTATTATCAATTTTCAGAGCTTTTGTGTCTGTTTCTGGTTGAGGTCTTTTTTTTTTTTTTTTTTTTTTTTTTTTTTTTTTTTTTTTTTTTTTTTTTTTTTT